GAGCCAGGGCCCAAATTAGTGGACCTGAGCTTGAGGGGTTTCTGCTAGAGAAAAAGGGATCAAAGCCAAAAAGGCTGAAGCCCAAACAAGGGTTTGGGGTGTGAGGTGCCCAGCATTGATTCTGTGTAGAGAAAGAGAAAGCATGCGAGAAGGAGAGTCCCTACAAAGGGGCAGGCAGGGGACCATGAGGAGGCATGGGTGTGGTGAGGGGGCCAGCAAGGATGGCACAGTAATAGCCCTAAGATGCCCAGGAAAGAACTATCCCTGTCTCAACAGCAGCCGCCCTCTAAATACACACCAGGTCCCATCAGATAGTGGCAGGAGAGAAGTAGGAGATGGGGTAGACTGGGTAGTACCTACAAGAGCTGGGAACAAAAGTCTAGACCTGTCACATTCCTATAGACAGGTCTGGGAGAGAGCATGGTCTGCTCTGCACTACACATTTTTCCAGTAAAGCTTTGTCCACTGGGGTTTGAAAAAGGTCACACCCCTTGCCAGTGCAACTACACTGGCCAAATCCCAGTGTGGATACCCACAGAAGAAGAGGCCTTCCGCTGGTTTAGGTCATGTCCTTCAGGGATGTGGTGCAACTCTGTCAGCAGAAAAACTGTTTCTGCTGCCATACGTCTCCTGTGTGGTGCTCTGTTGACATATTTATTCCAGCCTAGCAATAGTGGCAGAAGCTCTGTAATGCACCCATGTCTTATGTGTATGCATATATGTAGGTCCAAATATGGTCAGGAAGAGGGTATTAAAGCTAAGGACAAAGCCCAAACACCTTGTCTTTGGGAGGAGGGATCAGTGCATTGCTGTTAGTGTGCCTGATGCCTTGTTTGTACCCTCCAGAGAATGGTTATTCCTCCAGATATAGATTCAAAGCAGAAGTGGCCTTCATCAGCAGCAAGTTGGAACACAGTGTGCGAAAGGGACTTTTTAACACAAGCAAACAGCCCCACGTGGTTGTCCCTTTTCTTTCTACGTACTGGATTAGAGTTGGAAATGGTGCTGGCCCAGCATAATGGCATCTGTCCAGAGTTACATTCTCAAGCTTGTGAAATACCATATTCCAACAGAAAATCTTCTAATAACTGTAAATTAGAAGAAACCTGAGCCGCTGACTAGCAGTGTGTTTCATTTGGCTTTTAGCTGGGACATTCCTGGGTTACTTTATACACTCAGTTCCCCCACAGTAAGTGTTCTCCCTCTCTCCCTCCATATAATGCTTGTTTTTCTTCCATTACTGTCAGTGTGGGTCTTCTCTTTTCCAGTTGGCAAGTTCCAAAGAACACTCAAAGTGTTTTGGCTGATTGTGTCTGCAAAAATGAGAGACTTGTTACCCTGGCAAGTGTCAGGTGTCTGTGGGATCTTCCGATACACAGCTCTGCTGATGCCTCTAAGATGTGACGCACGACGTGTTTGCTATAACTTGGTTTTATGATATTGACTCACCTTTACAAGAGATTTGGCTCTTCAGAGTGAGAGCCAAAGTTTGTTTTTTCACCTTGGTATTTCCAGTTCTGTACCAGGAGTTCAAGTCCGATTGCCAACTCCAGCAATGAGCCTAGCTGCAATTTCAGGGGAGGGTGCCATTTCCTATTAGGAAGGGAAAGAAATATTACTGCTAGAAAGGAGCTGCACCTGCAAATCCTTACTTGGTTCTAACGGTTGTGGCTGGTGCTGGCTTATGACTAGGGCTCCAGCTTGCTATATACCTCACCATAAGGGATACTGCTGCAGAACATCTATATCTTGCAGGCATAGAAATAAAGTCCGTTTCACCCCTGAAACATATTTGGGTTTGAAATGCTGTTATAACATATTTGTTTTTCTCTATACAGCAAGAATAAGCCTTTGTTACCTTTGAGATATGGGACTTTGTAGGGCATGTGAAGTCTAATATTTGTTAGTAGCATTGGGAGGAGCTGGCATTAAGCAGTGAAATAGATTAGTTTCACTGGAGGTTGGAAGATGGCATCTTTCTTTCATATGGGAGGTGCAGCTCCCACAAAGTCCCTCAAGTGACAGATTGACTCAGAGTAATCAGAGAAGAGCTCCTGGAGTGATTTTAGTTACTGTCTGAAGATAACAGCACAAGCGGGAAAGGGTGGATTTCAAAGTGATGAGAGCTGCAGAACGGTACCATTCTCTGCATCACTTGAGCTAATTCCAGAGAGGAATGAATTGCTAACATTTAGAAGCATCCTGCATGTAATAAAAACTAACAGCGTAGAGGCAGCTGCTTTCTTAATGTGTAATGCAGCCTGGGCCAAATTAATCCCTGGAGTAACTCATCACTTCAGTGAAACTATACCAAGGATGTATTTGGCCTTGGGTGGCTGGTTTAGCATGTGATTGCAGGCAGTCGTCATAGCAGTAAGGTGATTTGTTCATTTCCCCTTGCACCCTGCATTTTGTCTGTAGACAAGATGAGTTTTTAAAGCAAAAACTGTCTCACTGTGTGTTCACACGGTACCTTAAGTGACAATGCCCTTGATCTCAGCCAAGGTCTCGAGATTCTACTGTGGCAGGGGTTTTCAACCTTTTTAAATAAGTGTACCCCTGGTGGGTTGACACAGGGGTGGGGGGATAGCGGCCATATGCAAGCTTCCCTCCGGCCCTGCTTCTGGGAGGCAGTGGCACAGGTTGGTGGGTGGCGGCACTCTGTCACCTTCCACGTGTACTGCCTAGGGCCTTCCTGCGTACCCCGGATAGACAACCCCTGTGCTATGGTATATTTCAAACCAGCATAATTTTATTATTTTTCCTTTTTTTTATTGTTCCAAAGTCAAAGGAGAACAGTATGTTAACTGGTATTCTTGAGTGTTCATTGTGTGTTTATATGCTTGCATGAGTGGATGAATTTACTCTTGTTCTAGCTGGGGATTAAATGCCCAAAATCTATGCAGACTCACATAAGCAAAATGTCTCCCTTCACTGTAGGGTCTGAGTTAAATTTATGTTTTGTTGTCAAAAAGCATTCAACTTTCAACTTTACAGCCTGTCTGAGTCAGGAAGTTGATTTTCATAGCTGGGATTGCACTCATTGTCTTTTTGCTTTCAAGACAGGAGTAAGTGTAAGTTCCCAATCTGGTTGGATATAGACATGTGCAAACCAATAGCTTCTTGTACAGGGCTCTGGGAAGGCTCCTGAATCATCAATTTACACAGTTCCTCGTGTTAATAATCAGCCCGAAGTTGTCACAGGCTGACGAGAGTAGGTCCATGGATCGTTGCGTGTCAGCCTGTGAGCCTGCGCATAATGCACAATCATCGGCGAAGAGGAAGTCATGCAGAGTGGCTGTCTGGACTTTGGAGCATGCTTGGAGCCTGCACAGGTTGAAGATGTGTCTGTCAAAACAGTACCTGATCCCCATATCAAGGTCATCATCTTGGAAGGCGTCTGACAGAGAATACCATGCTGAAGAGGGTAGGTGCAAGCATGCCCTCCTGCTTGACACCATTTGTGACCGGAAAGGTATAAGCAGAAGAAGATTGAAGTGATGTTTCAACCTGCACCTGGCACAATACCCCAGGAACCACCCATCTCAGTTAAAGGCCAACAACTGTCGATGGTTGACAAGCTTGCCTGTCTAGGTAGCATGCTTTCCCATGCTGTCCACATTGATGACAAAGTCAGTGCAAGATTAGTGAAAGCAAGCATGGCCTTCGGCAGACTCCTTAAGTCAGTCTGGGACCACAGAGGCATCAGAATTTTGACAAAACTGAAGGTTTGCAAAGTTATCATCCTTCCAACCCTTCTCTGTGCCTATGAAAACTTGACCATTTACCAGGGTCATGCCAAGAAACTAAACCACTTCCACTTGTGCTGCCTGCATAAGATGCTAAAGATCAAGTGGCAGGATAAGAGTCCAGACACCAAGGTGCCTGGAAGATCAACTCTCCCCAGTATTGACACCCTGCTGAAACTGGCTGGCCCATCTTAGCTGTGCCATCTCTCAAGAATGCCTGACACTCGCTGCCAAAAAGTCTTCTATGGCGAACTGTCAAATGGAGTACGCTTTCGTGGTGCACCAAAGAAGCGGTACAAGGACACCCTAAAGGCGTCCCTAAAGAGTTTTGGCATCGACCCAGAGTCGTGGGAACAAATCGCTTGCAGCTGTTCATCCTGGAGATCCCAAATCCAGAATGGAGCATTGGCCTTTGAACAGCAACACACGGCAGAACCAATGAAGAAACGCGCAGCCAGGAAAATGAAAACTTCCCATATCCCGTCCTCATCATTCTCCTGCCCCTGCTGCAGCAGATTGTTCAAAGCAAAGATCAGACTTAGGTCACTTATGTACCCATTCTCGTCCCTTTCCCTTTTTTCTCCTTTTCCTTTCTCCTTTTCTCTTTTCTCCTTCCCTTCCCCCCCCTTCTTTTCTCTCTTCTTCCCTCCTCTCCCCCCCGTTGGATGCGGTTGTGTTCGCCCGTGAAAGACAAAATGCTGCTACACAGTTCCTCCCAAGCCAGAAATGGTTATGTCCTGCTGTTGCTTCATGTGAATAAGACAGTTCAGCTCCATTGTTGAGCTAACATGTGGGTAAATAGATGTTCCTTTAATAGCCGTAGTTCCCCAAGTGTTAAATTGGGATAGACAGCACTGCCTTACCTCAGAAGAAGGCTCTGAGGAGGAATACATGAAACACTGTAGTAATAAGGAACAGTGTAGGGCAAGCGTGGGCAAAATGATGGATCCAGCTAGCAGCCAGACTCCATTTCCAGCAGGCCTTGCCCGTGTGGCTGGGGCCAGTTTTCATGGAGACCTCAGCAGTAGCAGCTGTAATAGTGCAAAGCTGGGGTTTCCATGGAGACCGGCCCCAGCAGCGCTGGCAGGACGCGCAGCAAGGTGGGGAGTTGCTCCAAAATTCCCTGTAGCCACTCCTCCCAGTGGTGCTGCTGCTGCTGCCTGCCCTGCACAGGTGGTGGGAGCTGAGCCTGCCCTGCTTCTGTGTGCGGCACAGCCCCACACTTAATCCTCCCACCAGGAAGAGGCTGGCACTGCTGCTGCCTACCAGCGCTGCTGGGGCCAGTCTCCATGGAAACCCTGACCCCGCACTATCACAGCGTGGCTGCTGCTGGGGCCTCCGTGGAAACCGGCCCCAGCCGCATGGGCAAGGGCTGCTAGGAAATGGAGTCCAGTGTTGGCTGGATCTGGCCTATGGGCCAGACTTTGCTCACCCCTGGTGTAGGGTGATGTTAATCCTAAATTCTAGTTTTACTTGGAGGAAGTTGGTCAACTTTGAATTCTCAGTTATTTACCCTTCCCAGAATCACTTCCGTAAGAGTGTCCCTGACACAAAATCTGCTTTCAGAAGGTAGCAGCAGACGTGTCCATGTTTGAAATGGATGTTCCAGTGTGACCTTCTCACAGGTGGTTTGGTTTCTGTGACAAAGGAGGTGCAGTTCTAATGTAGGCTTGTTTCTCTTTGAACCTGTGCATGTGGCAGATGCTTGCTTTGATCTTAACTGACTAGTGCAGGCCAAACACTAAGCTCTTCCCATGCTAAGGGAAAAGGGAAGAGTGTTTCAAAAAGCACTTATCCTCATACAGATACTTTTGTAGCCTCTCCATCGGAGATTGATCTCATGCCACGATTCTGTTTCTGCCAGCTCCGGTGAAGTCTGTTCAAGGTTTACTAGTGGCATTTGTATGCATGAATCTGTCTTTGAGACCTGAGCTGAGGGAAATGCTGTTCTGTGAGCTTGTGGCTGGATCAGCAAATGAAGTGCATCCTTGTGCAGGGTGTTTCTGTCCCAAATATCCAGCTGTTGCTCCTGCTCATTCTGCTTCATTGATAGTAACTAAACTCTACTCAGATTAAATCATACTGCGTTGTGCTTGAAGTGCTAACCACAGCTGGTTCCTTCCTTGTACTTGTGGTGGGCCAGTAGGGGGTGCTTCTCCACTGAGCCACTCACCTTGCTGTGCCCAACCACCTTCCAGGCTCCGAGTGCGTCTCTGGGGGTACTTCATGTCTGGCCAACCTCCTTCCTGGAGCACACCCTCTAGCCTAGGGGTAATGCCACCACCACCTAGGGTCTAGAGTAATCTGGGCTCTGTGCCCCCTTGAGGGTACTTGACCCACTTCAAGAACCTGGGGTTCTTCCCTCAGTCTGAAGCACAAATAGTGGTCTCCCTTAGTCAGCTGAACCAAGGGGACCGCAAGGCATAATCTGGACCCACTCCCAATAAGTCTTGCACACTAGGTACAAAGGAGAACTTTATTGGTTACAAGGAGTAGGTTTGGAATAGGGTACAGGGTAGAGCCGTATCAGAGAAATCCTTTAGAGCAAACAGGGTGGCTGGATAGCCTTTGATGATCATGCATCTGAGTTACTGCAAGTTGTATATCTAGTTAGATCTCAGGTAGCTTACTCACGGGTATCATCCAGAGGCAGGTGGAGATTCCCTCTGGAGGCAGGCAGTTCATTGATCCTGAGTTTCAAGAGAGAGCAAGTTTCAGATGGTCCAGCTCTTGTCTCTCTGAGTTTTCATCATGGCTACTGTTCCTCCTCCTGGGCAGTCCCTAACTTCTATAAACCTTATGACCTTATGACCTCATTTACCTAGTCAGCTGCCAGCCAACCAACTTGAAATGCATCACTGGTTGCTGGGTAGATTGCCAGGGCCTCTAGCCCCCTCCCAGTCAGATTGGCATTGCTTGAAACAATAGGGAGTGTAAGCCCCTCACCCAGGTATGCGTTGCCAGTCGGGTAGGCAGAGGGAGCAGGTTTCCCCCCTTCCTCAGGAATGTATCCAGCTCAGGTTACAACTCAGGGTCACCTGAGAGATGGGACAGAGGAGTCTGCCCCTTGCAATGCCCGTGTTAACCAAATTGTCACGTAGCAGAGTTTTTGGGGAGAGATGGGGCATTCTGCCACAGTACTAATGCTTCCCTTGCTGCCACCAGTGAAGCTGTGGTGAAGGGTAGCATGGCTGGGGAAATTTTAAAGAAGTAAACACAGTTCCAGCACACCTTGTTGCTATTAAAATAGAGATCTCCCCCTTCTGACCACTGTGTCAGATACTCTACTCTCTCTTTGTATGTGTGGGCACAGGAGGGGCTGTGTTTCTGCCAAATCACCATGGGAAGCTTTCACTGTAGTGGGATTTTTCTGTGCTTTCCTCCAAGATCCTCATGGCTGCTGATGCACCTTCCCTGCCCTCTGTTGTAGGTAGAGGACAGGGCATAGTCATCTGAGCTTCAGTGCTGAATTTGGAAACAGGAGACATAAATGTCTCAGCAAGCCTCCAAGGGTTTCAGGCATTGAATGCAACTTGGATTTTTGCATTGGGTTTAAGGCCCCCAATTATCTATGACCCCTGCCCATCAAGGAGCATGCGGGATCTGTTCAGGGGTAAAATACTAATGACAACTGGTAGTGCAAAGATCCAGTTGGGTTTGCAGAAACAATGGGATCATTTCTCTGAGCAGTTCCCTATTCCCTCTCAGCACTGTAGGTCTGAGTCTGTTGTATTGATATTACAACCTCATAATGGTCAAGTCCTTTAGTCTTGACATGAATGACATGACACTTGCCACTCAATTTGCTGCACATCTGGTCAGTGTTGAGACAGCAGGTCTTGCCCTTCGACTGCATCATCCTTGCTCTGCTGCTTCCTTTCTTCCCTTTGCCATATTTGGATTCTGAATCTAGGGCAAGCTCTTTGGAAAGTGGCTCACTTGCTGTTTTTCTCTTGTATATCAACACTTCCTACCCATGTCCTGTGGCTTTAAATATACCTGTGAAACATGTCATCAAGTATTCAATGCACAACCAGAAATTTCCCTCCACTTCACTTCTCTAGTGCTGCATCCATGATTTAAAAAAAAGAAATTATATATGTGCAGTAGACACAGGCATTCACTGGAACCCCTTGGTTCCTACTAATTACCAGTATTTGGTTTAACTGTTTGTGGTTATGGAATCTCTGGCCGATTCCAGCAGGACAGTAAGGGATCGTGAAGTAATTTCCATGCCTCTTTTCACAAAGTCATGTTGTCTAAGCTCATGCTTGGGGACAGTTCCAGGCTTGTTTTCTTGGGCATTCAGAACATGTTCCAAGTGCAGATTACCTAATGTCCCAACCCTCCTATGTCCCTTAGCCCTTTCAGGAAACCTATAAACAGTTGTTCTGGTTAAGACAGTTTTACTGTTGCTCTGAATTTGGAGCAGTAGAACAGTTCAGATGCTGTTGTGATGTGAAGTCATTCAAGTGCCTAGGTGGTCAGTAGCTGCTTGCCTTGTTAAAATGAGCCATGTAGAATACCCCTGTAGCCCACCAGTGTAAGGTCAGCTAGTTCCCCAGAGTAATGGTCACCACTGAGATCTAACACTGCATAAATACTAAGTCCCAGTTTTGTTGGAATAGATGGGGATCTCTGAGACATACTCCTCTATAAATGCATCTCTGGAGCTTTTCAATACTTTGATAAATGGCCCCTTTGGAGCTAACAGTTATATAGATACATTGGCAAAAGTGCAGAGATCAAGAATGATAAAAAGTTTTAAAAACATGACCTGGGAAGGAAGGTGGAAGGAGTTGTTTCTTTTTTCTTTCTTCTTTTATTTTTAGCATAGGACAAAGTTAAATGAAGGGAATAAAGAGGAGAGTGCTCAATTGTCCACCATATCCAGTGGGGGAAGGATGAGAAAAAAAAAAAAGCTTAAAATTTGTAGCATAGATGATTTGAGGTAGATTTTAGGAAAACCTTTCTAGTTATAGTTTGGCACTAGAACTGAGTAGTGAAGAGGATTGTACAGTCTCCTTCACTGGAGTTCTTTAAGGTCACATTGGACAACCATTGGTCAGGAGTGGTGGTCTAGATATACATTTGGATCCTGCTTTGGAGCAAGGAGAGGCACTTGGTCCTTGAGGTCCTTTCCAGCTACATATTTCTATGATTTTCTATCATACTTGGAACTGTTCTTCTCCGAAGACTTAAGTTGTAATATCTCATTTATCTACCCATCTTCCCTGCAGGGCTGAGGATCTGAGTCTGCATCCTTTCATGCTTTCTAACACTTGGGGGGGGTGGAGGGGAGGAACTGACTGCACTAGTGTCTGCTACTCCCACTCAGCATGGGAGTGAAATGGGTCAACAGCTGGGGGTGTGATAAGGAGAGGAGGCGGAGTGCTCCACCCAGCACTGAAGCTGGGGAATTTACAGCACAGTCGCATGCTCTTTGACAGAGCAAAGGCTGCTTATAATTTCAGAGAATAATTGGCATTTGTACATCTTGCTCCTCGGTGCAGTTTTCCTGAGGAGGGGGATGTTATTCTGGGTAGAGGGCAGATGGCTTATTGGCAACTTCACATTATCTCACCGGAAGACAAGTGGGAGCTGTGCATTGGCCCTCATCCCAAGAGGGTGACGTGGGGAGATGGCAAGTAACCAAAAAGAAAGGTGGGGAAAAAGATAGAGGGAAGGAGGACATCAGGAAGAAAAATATAATAGGAATAACTAGGTAGGTGATGGTGGAGGAAGAGAAGAGAAGTAGTGTGAACCATAGTTTTTCAACCCGTGGTACATGTACCCCTGGGGGTACGTGAGAGCCGAAAACCCCCATAGCAAGGGGGCACCGTCACTTCCACACTGCCGCCAGGTTCACGCCCGGCCACTCACCCCTCACAAGCCGGCCACTGGCTGCTGCAGGAGGGGGAGGGCAGGCACACACATACCCATATACTCCTTGCTGACCTAATTTTCTCTCTTTATCCTGCCTGGGCTTGCATGGGGGAGGGCTGCCCCGCTCCCTCCTGCACTGGGATTGCCCCGTGACTTGTCCCACCTGGGACCCAGTTCACTGCGCTTACTGAGCAGGCTGCTGCTGCAGGCTGGGGCTGGCAGCGGCACCGGGCTCTTCCTGGCGCTTGAGGTGGGCTACGGTGATGGGAGGGGGGCTGCTGCCACCCCAGTATTCACTGTAGCCCTTCCCAACCTGCCCCCCATGCCGCTGCCAAATGCTGGGAAAAGTCCAGAGCTGCAGCTGGCCCCTACCTGTAGCCATCCTGGGCTCTGAGCACCTGCAGCTGACAGTGCGCAGGCTGCAAACAGCTGCACTGGGCTTCGCAGCCCCGGCATCAGCTCTATGTTGGTGGCTACTGCACGCATGCCTCAGAGCAGAGAGCAGGGGTAGGGTCTGAGGCAGCACAACTCTCCCCTGCTCTCTGCTTTGAGGCATGCATGCAGTCGCTGGTGTGGAGCAGATGCTGCAGAGTCTGGTGCAGCTGTTTGCAGCCTGCCTGGCCTGCTGCAGCTGCCTAGAGCCCAGGCTGAGTATAGACAAAGGCCAGCAGCAGCGCCAGGGTTTTCTAGGCTGAGCTGCCGTAGGGCCCCCCACCTCCTCCACCGTCCACTCCGAGGTACATGATGCCAGAGCAGCTCTTTGTAGCCTCCTGGCTGCAGCCAGCCCAGGCTCTGGGTAGCTGTTGCCAGCCACAGAGCCCAGGCTGCTTGCAGCAGGGCTTGCAGCCTCCCAGCCGCCTGCTGGGAACAGCCTGGGCTACATGGCTGGCAGCAGCTGTCTCCTTGTCTGTCCGTCTCTCTCGCCCTCTTTCCCTCCTCTCAAAACTATGGCAGAAATGTGGTGTGCTGCACATTGTGCAGCTCTTTAAATTCCCCAGTAATAATTTGCTGGTTCAGCCCTAGCTTTGGCCAGCATCACCTCTAGCTCGGGTATATACTTGAATTGTGCGCCCCTGGTGTAAAAGGTGGGGACCCTACCTACACCACATCAGACATCTGTCATATCACAGCCTTATATACACAGCCCTTTTCCCAACATATGGCACACATTAGTCTGTAAATATAAAATCCCCGGAAAAATGAGTGTTGGGGTACTTATTAAAATTTTCAGAAGTTAGGGGGTACTTGCTACATAAAAGGTTGAGAAACACTGGTGTGAAAGATGAAGAGAGCTTTGGGCTCTGAGTCAAAGCCCTTTGCAGTCCATAGTCTGTCCATTGAGTTCAGTGGGTTCAGGATCTGGCCCTTGGAACAGTAATTTGCATTGGTTTGAATAGATTGGAAAATTGTGGGTAGCTTTAGTCTAAGGGGAAAACACAACCACTGAAGGGGAGGGGGAAGTGAAGGGAAAGCACTGGCACAAGGCATTTTAAAGTCAGAAATAACCAATGTGTTCATTTTGCCTGCCTTCTAGTGTAGCCCAGACCACAGAACTGCACCCAGCACCTTCTTTACTGATCCTGTCATTTCTGTTTGTGCTGGAGTGTGTCAAGGTATGGTCAGGCAGAAGGGAAATAGAGGAGGGGCAGGGGTGTAGGGCACTAAAAATATTTTCAGAGAAAATCTGCTTTGTGCATAATTTTGAATCTGATATTGACAGTGGCTGAGCTGATTCCAGGCCAGAAGAAATCCAGAGCTTCCCTTGGCAGGTATACGTGTGTCCCAGGCCCTGAGACCCACTTTCATTGCTCTGGGAGAACTGTCAGGAGGCAGATGAAAATGAATACGCAAATCTGTTTGATATTCCTTTTGGATGCGTGATTTTCAAAGCAGCCTCAGGGAGTAGGGCACCAACATCCTGCTGATAATCAGTGGGATTTGGGCACTGAACTGCTTCTAAGCTATGCTGAAAATCCCAGCCTAAAAGTGCCATGGCCTTCTTTATAAAATTAACTTAGCTCCAGAATTTTCTCTTCTGCCTCCATTGCCTCTCTCCAGTTTAAAGCTGGCTTCATTTCAGCGGAAGTTTTTTGAGGTGTCAGTTGCCGTGTAGATGTCTAGCTGAGCTATTACCTTCTTCTGTTAACAGGGTTTATTCTCATTGACTGGACTGTCTTTGTGCTGTCACAAGGGCTTTGGTTAATAGTCTGTCCTAGACTAAAATGATACATGGAGTTTCTCAGCATCACAGCCCAAGAATTTGATGTTCTCCTTCAATGTATATGTATGACTTGATAATATACTGTTACTACTATCCATAATTCTGCAGTTGTTGACTTTGTTAGGTACCCTGGCTACTATGGACACCAACTCATGATCAATTAAGTGGCAAGTGGAAGGAACATCATGTGTTATTCAACTGCCTCTGTCATTTTAATCATCTGTACAGTGATGTTAAACATTTTGTTTCTGTGTTTTCTTTTTCTCCCTAGTGTTCCAAATCTGCCAGTTGTGATGCCGAAGTCTAGCAAAGTGAACCAAGCTTTGGCAGGTAACAAATCCTTCCCAAGTACTATTTTTTTTTGTTTAGATTTAGTATTGAAGGGACTTCCTTTCCTTGCTTTCTTCCTTAGTTTCTGGTAAGAACATGGAGCCTCTTGGTGTACATTCAGCATCTCTGGTCCTGGAACCCCTTGTTACTGTACAGCAGGATAGGAACAGAATAGTTGCCAAGGAGCTGATTGGTTCTTTCTCAACCCCACTAATCCTGTGGTAATGAATTGGGGTTGTGGTGCCTTACTTCCTTTGACAATGACATAGGATTGGTGTTAGCCTCATATTTTATGGTACCACAGTTTACAGGCTTGGTACCTGTAAAAGCAAAAGGAAATGCTCCAATGTACAGTCTGATAACAGCTTAGTTGTTGAAATCAGGCACATGCAACTCATTCAACAAGTCTCTAGCATATGTAGACTTAATGGTACGTAAGGCAGAATGAATTCGTCTAACTCTCCTGTAGCTGCGGTAAAAAGTATATTAAAAGGTTGCTTTGGTCAGTGAAGTCAGCAGATCTGACTCTGAGCACACGCAGGGCACATATCTGGCAGGGAAGAAGGTGCCATGTGAACAGTCACTTTTCAGAGTAGAATTGCACCTTAAAACTAAGTGTTGTGTTGATAATCCTGCACACCTGTAGTTTTCAATGAGAGCACTTTTACTTTGAGTCCCAAAGAGTAAAAAATTGGTGGGTATGCTTGCTGTCTCTTAATTTAATTAGTGCAAAGCACCTGGGATCCTGGTTTGGCAGTGTCTTTAAGACTGCATATTCTCTGGATCTTATGATGCCTTCTCCAAAGTAACACGGTCCACCTGCATAAAACATATTACAATATATTGCCCTTCCTCTCACTCTAGGTGGGGGAAAAACTGCTACATCATCTTTGTTGTTGACCACTGCTCCTCTTGTATGACAGGACATGATTGAAAACTTGAGAATGTCTTTCATTCCCCTTCCCCTCCCATCCTTTCTCCATGTTTTGTTAGAGTGTAAGCTCTTAGCAGCTTGTAGACTTTGCTTATAAGTTTATGCAGCTGTCTGTGCCATTTTGTTTTATGGCTATTGGATCACCTAATTCCACATCAATATGTAGCTACTCTTCTCCTGAAGGTGGGAATATAGGTTTCTTGAGAGAGATTCCTCAATTTGGGTGCCTCAGTCCACTGGCATCAATGCCACTTGATGATCCTGACTTCATTGTTGATGTTTGCAAAGCACTAAGTACATAATCAGTGTAGTATAAATAGTAATAGCAATCACCTATGAGAAATCTTCAGAGAACAGTCATCCTGTTGCCATATGCAGTGACTATGATGGCTTCAGTTTATTGTAGACAAACACTTGTCTGGGGTGGTTTAAATGGGGATATTTTGTCTTGAGTTGGAGTAGGTGACCTCCTGAGTTCCCTTTCTGTCCTATTTTTCTATGATTCTGTAGTCCAAGATAGATCAAAACATAGTGCCTTAGTATATTGCTGTAATCCACCTATATTAATAAAATTGGTGCTGGCATATTGTTCCATATATGAATAGGTCATTTTCCATTTGGAGCAGATGCCTGGACTCGATCAAATTGTTATGGTATGATATGATCTAATATAAAGGAACCATGGGTGGTAACCAGTCAATCGCATCTGTAGTTTGCCCTCATTCTCTTTTTCTTAAGTCACTTTTGCAGTCAATTCTCCCATTGTTGTCAGGAGCAGAGGGGAAAAAAGAGAGGATAATTAATTTGGCTAATGACCTTTGGTTTAAAGCTGGAGCCAACATGAATGAAATTATACATCCAGCAGTTGATAAGATGTGTGCTGCACTGTAGAGGTTCAAAATGGTTAGGCTAAAGTAAGATCAATAGGCAAATGCTGGCTTCTAACAGGCAAGCAGGCTTCTCCTTTAGATCTGAATCTTCAGAGGACACCACTTTGATTGGAACTGAGGGCAGTAATCTTTAATGGAAGCTCTGTGTTGCCTTCTGTTAAATGTTGCAGCCCATAAAGATGCAAGACAGTTATGACTGATTACAGTCTTTCTCTCTCTTTGGGGGGGGGTGGGAGGGGAATCTATACTGTAAAAAGTTGCAGAAGAAAGTTCTGTGGAGATTCATCAGCCTGTGCAATGAAAAAATATATCGAAACACTTATGATGCAGAATAGACAACAGAGGCTTGGTGACAATGTTATTGATATCACCAGTGCTGTATCTGGCCAGTCCTTTGAATTCATGACCTCTCCTTCTGTTTGGCTATCCATTTCAAGGTCCTGTTTTCAAACTTGTTCTGTTCTAGTTTAAAATCCTTCATTGATCTTGAGTCTTCAATTTTTAATTCTTCAGATCACTTTATAAGGCAAAGGTCTCTTCTTTGACCCATTTCATCTTCCAAAGCTTCAAACAGTTTGTTCAGTTGACCAACAGCAAGGCCTTTTGCATCTTACTGCAGACCCACAGATAATTGTGAAAACCATATAATGACTGTGCTGCAAGGGTCTTTAACACCCAGCTCAGTTGCACAATTTGTGCCTCCCAGGCTGTTCCTGTAAACTATAATTTACTACTGAATTGGATTCTTTTTCATTTTGTCTGTTGGTTTTTGGGGTTTTTTTAATGAAAAAATGGGCAGAATGGCCCAAATTCTCTTGAGTTTTAGAAGGTGTTCAGAGAGTTTTCTGAACTAAGAAACAGCTGTATAACTAATTTGAAAAACAAAAGCTAAATCTTAAGGGTTCAGAGAAGCTACAAACAGATCTTTTCAAAGCAGAAGTAACTTGTGAAAGGTACAGAGGAAGTGGTTGAATAGGACAGTGCTGCTGCTAGGCAGAATGAGAACTTAGATCTGATTTGCATAATGAGTGCATAAAACTTCTGTGCAGTGGGAATGTTTTTTGCTCAGAGGATCAGCACTGTCAACAAAAACTCCTTTCCCTTGCCCACAACAGTGGTGAAATTTACCTTAAAAATTATGACTTGAGGAAGGGCACCTGATGCCTGAGGGCTTGTCCAGCAGCTTGCCCAACTATACGGTGGTCTAACGAAAGATATCACAAAAACTCCATGCCTCTCTGGCATTTCCTGAACCATCATATCTACAGCAATGCTTCTTAAAATTCACGGTTTTAAAGGCCAAAAATACTTCAGGCGCCTTTTGATTTACTTTCTAGCACTTTCAGGATGTGCTCAGTACTTTTGAAACTTTTCTTTGCAACTGAAAGGGCTAAAAATAAACTTTACTGTGTTTGGAGTGTCCATTCCTATTGCCTTATGAAGCAGGTAGTTGCTTAAAAATGCTCATGCTTCTCTGAACTAGTTAGTCTGTAAAGTGCCATTCTGCCCTATCTTTCCTCCTTAAAAAAATAAGTGAAACCTGAGATTTATACATACTCACATGACACTAGAACCTAGGCCTTTAAGAAAAACACTAAATGATGTGTAAGGGTCATGATTAAAATAGCAAGAATCAGCAACCTTGTTCTGATGCACATAAGTTCTCTGTCAGTGAAGAAAAGCATTGGCCTCCGTACAAGTCGCAACTGAAACTGCACCGTACATCCAAAGTCTGTGTGAAGAACAATAGCAACTGGAGCCAGTGGCCGGAGGAACATGGTAGCAATTGCCTTCACATCCAGCCTGTGCTTAGGGCAGCTGCTGGAACTGCCAAGCTCAGTGTGTATATATATGGTGCCTCCAGTCCTCAGTGCCTGCACGACACAGGATATTGTGAGATAGGTTTTCCTTGTGTGGAAGACTAAGATGATCTTTGATTACTGTGGCCATTGCTTTGGTAAAAAGAAAAGGATAAAAAGGCTCCTTCAGTGTCCTGGTTAGGATTATGGCCACGTGGCAGACATTGACCCCAAGTATCTTTGATTATATCTGGCAAGAGGAAGAGCTAATTGGCTTTGTACTGTATGATAATAGGTATCTGTAGTCATGGAATTTCCTGTGTGACTAACCTCTTGTATGGGACCAAGGGTTTCTTGGGTAGATGGGATGCTTGGAGATCTGGACTTTGGACATTGTTCTCCTGAACCCATCTGTAAATGGTGCAGAAGCTTAGTCACCTAGTTAGAACTGCTAAACACTTAGGTCTTAGCGGGCCAAAATCAAGTTTATGAAAGCCAATATGCCATCAGGTGATTCTATAGTTTTAGAAGAACGCAGGGTTGAGTACTAAGTACTGTAGATGAACTTACTTGCCTAGGCAGGCTCTTCATAACTTTTATGATAACACTGATAATGAAACAATCCAGGTGATTAAGGCTAGTACTACTTTTCAAAAGGCCATCCTGAAACAAATCTGACTCTGTTGGCATCAGCATTAAGCTTCTAATTGGCAGTAACAGCATCCTCAGCATACTCCTCTGACTCCAATGTATTGCAAGAATGACTGCTAAGGGCAGTTAAACAACTTCATCATGGAGGCCTGCACTGGATACTCACTCAGACAGAATAAAGAAGGTTGAGATCTTGGCACGGCAGTTGAGCAAGCAGCACAAGTGAGAAGAGGGAATTATCTTGCCCAAATTCTGAGGGCTATATAAGAGGCTTCCTAAACAAGTCCTTGTCTTGGCAGCTTTAAGGTAAAAGGAAGAACAGTTGATCCTGTAGGACCCTTTGCTGCACATGAAGGACCAAAACAGCTACTTTAGAGGTAATGGGCTTGAACAGGTTAAATGAACTGGCCCTGGACAGGACAGACTGATGAAAATTGACCTCTCCTTAATCATCTGGCCGGTATATGAGAAATTGTTTGGATTGTAGATTGTATTCAGCACCTTGGTATCAGGGTGAATTTTCCAAGGCTCACAGAGATGGTTTCTCTTTTTGTATTGTGCTGGGCTGAAAGTGCAGCAATTAGCACATGAGGAGGATGAATGTGACTTCTAATTACAGCTTTCTTCACATGGCCTAGTGAGTGACAGCTGCTCTTCAGGAAATGCAGAACCCTCCCAAAGTGATTGCACCCTTTATGCAGCAGGAATGTGATCAGTGTGAATCACACGGGCCTTTGCAAGATTTGATCTACCTAAACCACAGGCTTGTACTTTTAAGCTTACTCAAGGATTTAGCAATGTAGCATTAGTCATAGGGCCAAATCTACCACAGACCTTACTCCATCAAGGCTATTTGGTGCTACTGCCACACAGACTTTGGTTCATGCTATGGGTCTGAAAAAAACCCCAAAACCTACCTCAAAATATTGTGAATATTTTAGCACATTTGTGCATATACACTACCAGTATGGCCTAAGACAGGCTTTAGTAGCAAAGCCAGCTGCTCTGTAGACAAGGTGCTTCGTAAGTCACTTCTCACACTCGGCTTCTGGAGGGTTGATTTCTGAATACTAAGATTCCCTCTGTTGTGCTAGAAGTTTGCAAAGTAGAGTTGCACTGATACATCGGTTCAATATCAGATCGGTACCAATATAAAGAAAATTGTCTGTATCAGATATCGGCCTGATGGGGCCGATAATTTGGCCAATAAATGCCTGTACTGTGTGCAGCCGCAGTGCAGCAGAGAGCAGATCAGGCAGCATGGAGAGCTGCCTCCAGCTGGTAAGTTGGAAGGGGAGGGGGAAAGGGAGGGGCGTGGGGGGGGGCAGATAAATGCCCCCTGTGGAAGTGGGGGGCAGGTGCTGCCCAGGTGGGGCAAGATTGGGGTCAGCACAGAGGTGTGACTCATAGGGTGGGGGCAGTTTCTGCTGCTGCTTACACCCTGGGAGAGCAGGTGCAGGGGGGCTGGCTCTGCGTGGGGCTTTTGTTGCCGGGGGCTGGCACGGAGTGGACTCTGGTGGCTCTGGGAGGAGGCTGCAGCCACCTCAAATTTTGCTGCAGCTCCGCTCCCAGCCCTGAGTCACCATCTGGTACAGCCATGGCTTCTTCTGGTGCTTGGGTGGAGGTGGGGTGTTCAGCCAGGGGCTGGGAGTGGAGCTGCGGTGAAATTTGGGGTGGCTTCAACCTCCTCCCAACGTCAGCCCCCAGCAAGAAAAGCCCCGCACAGCACCAGCTCCGGCTTCGCCCTGCAGCTGTCGCCTGCCCCACTCTGCGCAGATCCAGGGGCA